AGCTGATGGAATATTAACTGATATAGAGGATAACAAAAAAAAATTATAGATGAAGAAGAGTTTGAAAATAACTTTGACATTAATTATGAAGATTCTTCTGAAGGCAATCAAATTTATGATAAGTCTACATTGGGTCTTGATCATAAAGGGAAGTTTTATTTTTAAGTGAGTTTATTTTAAATCTTCTTTTTAAGTAATATACTAATATTATCTTTGAACAAATCATCATATTCATAATTGATATAATATTTTATTATTTTTTGTCATTATTCATAATTATAAATTACTTTATTTTTATCATTTTTTAGGCTTACGTCTCGATCCGCCTCGATTCCCGATTTCTCCTTTTAAAACGTTGCAGAATTTAACTCAATTTGTTCAATAATTCATCAATTATAACAAGCATGAATTGTTCAATTCCAAATTCAATGTTAGACAATTTTTTTAATTAAAAATCCAAATTCACAGCAAGGAGCATATTCAATTTCACGTGGAAGCTTAGGTTCACAATCAAGGTTATATTCAGTTATTATTTTCTGTATAGCTTCATATATGATTGTAGGATTAATTTTAATTTATATTTTGAGATTTAGATTTAAAATCAATCTCATACGCAAATTCAATTATAAGCACAAGGTATTACTTAATCATGTACAGATTTACATTCATTTTTAGAAGTAGACACAATTTCTCTCAAAGGCTTGTGTTCTAATATGATCTAAAGCTTAATAGCGAATTCAAATTCTAGTTCCATCATGATATCATGCTTGTATACTTGCTAACACGGAAAAGCGTACCATAGCAAAAAGGTCCTTGAGGATCCATAGCATATAGCACTAGGCACGATGTATAACATTTTAAACAAAACATAAGATCTTACAAAATTGTAAATAAAAATATAGATAAAAATGAAAGGCTATTAAATTGAAAGACAAACTATCATGGTAACAAGAGAAACAAAAATGATGCTCACGTTCAAGTGGTCAACACATCAACCACTTAAAGTTCAAAATATAACAATCCTTCTTTCAAATCTAATATTTTATAAGAAATTAAATTAACCCTCTTGAGAATCACCATTATAAGTAAAAAAAGTCACTTTTCCTTCATCAATATCATCTCCAAAATCATAATCTTCTTCATCACCCCAATCATCTTCATGTTTAGTTCCAATAATATTAAGCCTAGATGAAGATTCCTTCTCTGTCATTAAATCACTCTCGAATATAATAGCTTTTGTCATCGACACGTGACTTTGCAATAGTATTCAATGTCAAATCTTCCTCACTAATAACTAATTCATTATCTTCATCTAACTAATCATACATTTTTCCAGTTAAACAGTCATTTGCATTATATGTATCATTTAAAGAGGCCAATCACATCACGATTGTTTATGTGAATCAATCCCCTATTCTATTTCATATAAACTTAATCTTTAAAGAGTCCATGATTTACGTTGTTACTTCTTTTGTTATGAAGCTATGTTGAAAATCATTGAAATTAATAAATTATAAAATTTCTCAGTAATAATCACACATAAATTCATTTTATACTTATATATTCAAATATACTTCAATTAAGTTCACACTCAGATGAAATAGAGGATGGGCTAAGGACTTTTATTACAAAACTTTGTAAGTATGAAGCTCCTTAGCAATACACTTGCCACCAACTAGACGGAAATAATAAAATATTTAACTACTTTAATTTTTATTTAAATATAAAAATATTACTCAATAATAATTATAGTTTTTTTTTTTGAAATTATGTACTTGGTGCCTAAGTGTTCCTTCGTCTTACAAGGAATATAAAAAATCCTTCACCCCTAATGTATACACTCAACTCATTGCTAATTTTTTCTTATTCATTGATGGATAGCCAACCTTCCAATGCATCCATTAACTATTTCCTTATCTTTTGCGATATCAAGGTTACTAAAAAAATATTCAAGATTTTAAAAATGTGCAGCTGCATACAAAGGATTATGAAGCTGCACTTCCCATTTATACCAATTATCACCAATTTTAAAGCTTGCAACTGCTTCTTTAATCTAATCCATTATTCTTGTGTGCGCGCGCGCGCGTATATATATATCTCTATTAGCCAATTGTAAGTCAGGTGTCAATAAATATTGGATCCGCTAGCTCAACCGGAATCCGACCCAAAAATTCAGATTTGAGTTATAATGTTTAATAAATGGGTTAGATTCAGATAGTGCATTCCGACCAATTTATTAAATAGGTAGGTTTAGGTTGACCCTCCAACCTGATTTGACCAAAAAAATAACCTATTTAATATTTTTTCCTTAAAATTCTTTTATTTGTTGGTATAATATTTTCATTTTTAATCAATTAACCTAAAATTTATAGTTAAAGTATTAATAAAAATATTTTTTTTAATTAAAATGAGTTATTGTGTCTGGTTTATGTTGCTAGCGGGTCAGGCTCGAATCAAGCTCTTTGATCTATTTATTAAACTGGTCATATTCGGGTTGATCAAATTCAGGTTGGATAAATATTGGGTCGGACATGAACCCGGCCTGTTTGACCCATTTTGACACCCCTAATCTAAGTACTTACAACAAAAGACCACCTACGTTGAGGGAATATTCAACACTATTCCTGAAAAAATTATGACAAGATGTTTTTTTATGCTTGTTTTGCAATAACTTCCTTTGCATAAAGACCCAACACAAATTTCTTACATGTAAACGATTTCTTTAGATGCAATTGTTGCTGATGAAAATATTGTAATATAAAGAAGGCAGCAACAAAACATGTTTTGGCCCGTCTTGAATTGTACATTTCTTCATTAATTAAAGCAATTAAGGTCTTGAATACATGAAGCTATGCACCACCATCGCCCTCTTAAAGCATTGTTGTAAGCTTTGAATCTTAAAAATATCATCCCACATTAAATCCAAATAATGAGCGGCTTAAGAAATCCAACATAAGTGTGGATATTTATCCGTCGATAACATCCTTATAATAATTTGAAAATTATTGAACAATACATTAATAAGCTATTAAAAAAGCATAAGCCAAATAAAAGTTTGTAATGAGTGACAAGTGAGCAAGAGCATTTCACAAGAACTATCAGTAACCACTTGAATTACACTATGGTCAAATATAATCAATAAACTTGCTCAATAGTTTGAAAATCTTCGCTGCATTATTTGGTTAAGAACTAAAATCAATGACTATCAATGTTGGTCCTCTTGGAAAATTTAATGCATCCTCAAAATGGCAAATTCTTCCAAAGTTCAGCTATCCTAGGATGAATGACCTATCAAGACACAGATTTGGGGTGAGTCTCTCTTGATCAAGCTCTTCTAAGGCGAGTGCCTCTCTTCTTCGAGCTCCTCAAAGGTGAGTCCCTTCTTGATCGAGCTCCTCCTAAGAGAGTTAGCCTAATCTCCAATCATTTAGTGAGCTCCCTCAGTTCCTGTGACTTGTCTAGATAATAGTCCGCATACAGGGGTATACATTTAGTTCCAACGTTCTCTTGTACCTTTGGAGAGCGACTTGAAAAAATGAGAAATATCATATTGAAGCTATTTTGTGCAATATAATATCGAGGACTGTTTCATTTATACAATGTTTAAGAATACGATGAATGATGAATGTATGAATAACTTCAATTTTAAAGAATTTTGTAAGTATTACTTGACCTTTTGTCTTTATTTCTTTAGACTAAGACAACGCCTAAGCTAAACCTCATTTTTTGCTAGATTTTTTATCCGCACGAGGTAAACCATCATAACTTGCCACTTTCGTTAGACAACTCACTACTCTCACTAATCAATACAAATCTTGTAAAAAGGGAAGATTCTAAGTTCTAGGACTTATTTATTTCTATAAAATAATAAGAGATTCAACACAATACTTGAGAGCTATAGGATATGTTTTTTTTTATTAACGCCATTATATATATATATATATATATATATATATATATATATTATATATATATATTATATATATATATATATATATTATATATTTTTTTTTTCTTAAGAGAAAATTGTATAGATGAATTAAGAAAAAAAGATGAGTTTGTTAAGTGTAGATTGTCCACTTACGTGAGGGACTTAATCTCCTGCAGGGAGTAATCTCACAACTTTTAAACTTGAGTCTAAGCCAAGATCACTCTGAAGCCAAGCTTGAGGTGGAATAGATGAGCATCTCCTACTAATGGGGCAAGTGGTTCCAAAGTAAAGGCGAGAACCCTCACGAGGGTGAGTTCTTCTTGGTTCACATTTTTTAGATCAAGTGATCTATCAGGACAAATAATTTAGGGGCGAGTACCATTCTCAGTCAAGCTCTCTTGAGGCGAGTGCCACTCTTGGTCAAGCTCCACTGAGGCGACTATTATTTTGGCCAAGCTTCTCTAAGGCAAGTGAGCCTGATCTCTACTTCTTTTGTGTGTTCCCTTAGTTCCTAAGACTCATCCAGATGTTGAGTCTGCATACAAGGTTATACATTAACCATATCTATTCGAGATTACACCAAATGAATTACATAAATTTTAATCTAATCTGACAAATTTATTCCAGCTAAAAGTGTTGAGCATTAGCCATGATCCACCACACTACAGAGTTAAGAAAAAATAAAGCAACACCTACACAAAAAAAAAGGCATCAATAATCACTTTTTCCATAAATCACAAGATAAAAATCCCCAAACGTCAACATGATCCACCGCATTACATAGGCAATTGGGCATATCACACCATCAAGAGCACATATGTGACTGCCTTAAAACAATGAAACGCAAACCCTAAATCCTGTATTCCTAGCATAGCATATGCCCATCGCCAACCACAGTGTACTAAAAAAAACGCCCATCGCAAACCACAACCAGTTATGTACCCACACTTCAAGGCACACATTATAATTATAGGCAAGATCCTGAATTTCAAACATTAAAAATAAAAAATTCGAAACGAAAATAGGGAGGATGCGAGACTAAGCGAAGATAGGAGATGATCAAACGAACCCGAATAACTTCGAAGAGCTTGATAATGTTTGGGTGCCGAACACTGGCAAGGAAGCTGAGCTCGCATTCTAAGCATTCCCTGAGGTTTCTAGTGATCCCCGAGAGCTGAACCCGCTTAACCGCCACGTCCTGCCTACTGGACCGATGCACCGCCCTCCACACCTCCGTGAACGGCGCTTCACCCCCCAACCTCTCCTTCACCTCGTACTCATCTAAATCGGCAATCGACGCCGAGATATCATCAGAATCCGCTGCGTCGGCCTTCATCCGTTGCCTTCTCTCCACATAATCCATGGCTCCATGAACCCAAGAGGGGAAAAAAACACTGGAGGATTCGAGATGATCGAAGAAAACCCAGGACAGTTTTTAATAGGTCCAATTCATGTTTCACTTCTTATTACAATCTCGATCAATATATTTAAAATTACTATAATTAGAATACAATCCCATTATATTTCTTTTATAATAACAAATTTTTTTTAGGTCATTTAAGGCAAATACACACTCAACGACTCGAACCCAAAACCTCAAGTGTGAAGCCTAAGCTCTCAACCAACAGACCAATGTGAGATGTGTCAATAACAACCTTTATCCCACTACATGAATTTTTTTATCCATTGTCTTATGAAGAATCAAAATCTTATTTAAGTCTAATAAGAAAATTTTATTTCTAATATATCTTCTAAGCAAATCTTTTTAGGTTTACCTATACCTTTCTTAACATAGGCCAAATATAATATAGCTACTCTCATAAGCAGGTCATTTCCATGCAAACATTTTATATGACCAAACCATCTAAGATGACTCTATCTAATCTTATATACCATATGAGTTATTCAAAATCATGAGAAAAGAAAACTCAAAAATATTTTTATTAGCATTCTTTAAACGCCTCCATCTAATTATAGGATAAAATTTTACTTTATTTTTCATAATCCACTCCATCTTAAATTCCAAAACTAGTAAATGACGTTGGGTACATAAACTTTCACTTAGAACAACTTTATAATCTATATAATCTAGACGATCTATTTTTCCTATAAGAAAATAATCAATATGAGTTTTACTCTATATATCTAGCTCGTCGCCTACAATTGTTTACTCGCCCGCGTGTCATTCAGCTCAAGAACGAGCTTCATCATCTCTCTATGAGAGATCAAACCATGATGCAATATCTTCTTACCATTAAATCCAAAGTGGAATCAATAGCCATGGCAGGCACTCCTTTGGATCACGAGGATATCATCCTCTATACATTAAATGATTTTCCTGCACAATACCAAGCTTTCAAAATAGCCATCAAAACAAACCTTCAACCACTAACCCTAGATGATTTCTACACACTTCTCTATAGTGAAGAACAAAATTTAGCATAAGAAGCCACTCGTGAGCTCCAATCCTTACACCTCTCCAAAAACACCATGCCTCTCGCGACTTCTCGAGGACGCAGTCGAGGTAACTTCAATAACTTTTGCAGTCGTCCTCCCTTCTAATCTAGAAATGCTCATTCCACTCAGCTTTCAGGTAGAGGTAACAAATCAACCACACAAAATTTTGTCTACCAGATCTATACCGAACAAAGTCATTCTACTCTTCACTGTTGGTATTGTCATTATTCGATCTACTCAAATACATCTAAGAAACTCTTTCTATTTACATCGTCTGAAACTCCTGCCAATTGGACTGGTATCTAAGAAGTGGTGCCTCAACCCACTTAACATTTGATCCCTTTCACCTCAGCACCACTAAACTATACTTTAGACCCATTCATATTGTTGTAGGAAATGGTAAACATCTTCCAATTCAAAACAGGTAATATATTGTTTCCCAGACCCACAGGTTATCTCCAATTGACCAGCTTATATCATGTGCCAAATACTCATTCAATTTACTTTCAGTTTATCAATTGACCACTGATAATCATTGCACTATCTCCTTTTCCTATCATGGTTACCAAATCAAGGATTCCAAGACCAATCAGCATCTTCTTTAGGGACCATTCCATAAGGATTATATCCCCTTCTCTCTTCTGTGTCCTCTACCTCCCATGCATCTCTAGCTCTCATCTCCATCTAGACTATCCTAGATTTATGGCAGCATCATCATGGACACCTAGCATTTCAGACATTACAACTCTTAATTAGTGAACACCATACTATTTGTATTACCTTACATACTAAGTTTTGTAATGCTTGTCATATAACAAAGAGTCACAAACTTCCCTTTCTTAAGTCATTTATCAGTATTAGCTCATGTTTTGAACTTGTTCATTATGATGTATGGGGTCCTTCCCCAACAACTTCAATGCAAGGATATATCTATTATATTTAATTTATTGATGAATATACAAAATTTTGTGGGGTTTGCCATCTCTTTAAAAAATCTAAAGTAATACACAAATTTATTGAATTTCATAAAATGGTTAAATGTCAATTCAATACTACCCTGAAAATACTTCAAACAAATGGCTATGGTGAATACATCAATAATAGATTTCACAAATTATGTCAACTTTGAGGGGTATAACACTAATACACTCGCCCCTAGACCCTCTCTCAAAATGACATCGCGGAATGCAAGAATATTCACATACTTGAAACCATTCACAGTCTTTTAATTCAATCCAATATTCCCTCCTCTTTCTGGGTTGAAGCCCTTCTCACCACAATTTACCTTATTAATTTACTCCCTACACCCACTCTCCAATCTCTCACCCCATACACCATGTTATATAACAAACCAACCTCTTAAACTCATATTAAAACTTTTCGCTATTTCTGTTATCCATGGCTTCATCCATATTCAAATTGAAACTCACTTCACTCTCAATTCAATGTGTATTCATTAGTTATGCTCCCTCCTAAAAAAAAGCTATTGTTGTTTGTACCCATCTACAAGCCAAATATATACATATCGATATACCATCTTCAATAAAACTGCCTTTCCATACCAATAATTCACAAATTTTCAAATTAAGACATCCTTATCATCTAATAATCCTCATCTACTTCTAGTGCCAACATCTGCTCTTCCTACACACCAATATATACCTTCCCCACCATGACTATCCACTATAGTTCCCAAATATATGGTAGCACCTCCATCACCAAGTTTGCTTCTAGTTATATCATCTCCAACTCAGCTCATCCATGACAAAGCTACAACCAACTCACCTCACCAAACACTCCCACTCATCCTATGTAAACTCACTTCAAAATAGGCAAATTAAAGCCAAAACAATTTGTCAATCTCATCTATAACCTAGCTACTAATGACCCTACTTTGTACTCTCAAGCCTCCAAGCATAAGCACTGGCGCATTGCAATGTCCCAAGAATTTCAAGCCTTATAATCTCAATGCACCTAAGATATAATATCAGCTACACCAAACCAATATATTTTAGGCTACAAATGGATGTTTTGGACCAAGTTTTGATCTGATGGGTCAATCACATGATACAAAGATCGACTAGTTGATCTTGGCTACAAACAAGAATTTGTCTTTGATTACATCGAGCTTTCAGCCCGATGGACAAAATGCATAGTCATGTTCTCCTTATAGTTCCTCTTCATTGGATATAAATAATAAACCAGCTTAATGTCTCTAATGCATTCTTATATGTACCTTTATGAGATAATGTCTACAAGAAATAGTCTCCTGGGTTTCTCAACACTCTCTATCCTACTTATGTTTGCAAATTGAAGAAGGCACTCTATGGCCTCAAATAAGCACCACGGTAGTGGTTTGACACACTATCCAGCCTCCTTCAGACATTGGGGTTTCACTCTAGCAACTCAGATCCTTCTCTTCTTATTTGCAACAAAGATGACATCTCTATGTAACTACTCATCTATATGGATGTAATCATTCTTACCAGTAATAGTATGCCTACTCTTACCAAACACTTGGACATTTTACACAAATGGTTCAATATACATAACCTGGGCACCTTGTTTCAATTTATTGGCATCAATGTAGTCCTCACTACTTATAATATCTTCCTAAATTAGAGCCGCTATGCTCAATATATCCTTGAACGGTTGGCATGCTGAATTCCAAGCCTTTTTGTACATCTATAAACATTAAGTTTCTTATGGACTCCAAAACCTCACCCACATTCTCCAATCCCACTCTCTTTAGGCATCACGTGGGATTCCTGCAGTACCTCACCCAAACCAAACCAGACATCTCATATGCTATAAATAAAGTCTTCCAACATGTGCAACACCCATTAAACTCTCATATTGAAGCTCTGAAATGTTTACTATGGTATCTACATGGATCCATTCATCTTGGCCTACCTCTATTCAAGGATTCACTATCCCTTCGATCATTTGCTGACTCTGATTGGGCGGGTGATGCTCATGTTAGTAAATTAACATATGACAACTATAATTTTCTAGGAAACTCTCTCATTTAATGGAGCGTCAAGAAAAAATCTACTACCTCCTGCTTCTCAGTGGAGGTTAAATACTGAGCATTAGCATTTATAAAAGCTGAAATTATTTGGCTCATCACCTACTTCAGGAGTTTGACTTCCTCCCATCATCCCCCACACAACTATTTTGTAATAATACATTTACAATAGTACTAACAAACAACCCGGCATATCATGCACACACAAAGCATAGACTACCACTTTATATGAGAATGCATTAAGAGCAATAACATTTTGGTTCATCATATTTTCAACAAGGATCAAATTGTTGATATTTTCACAAATTCCTAATCCATCTTCTAATTTCATCATATAGCCAACAAACTAATTACATCCAATGATGAGCCAATTTGATGGGGCATATTAATACATCACATTGAGAAGAGAACATTGAAGCTCATCTCAGAGTAAGTGGAGCAGAAATAAAGCTACAAAATAGTTAAACTTTAACATGAACTATATAATCACATTTATCTAAACCGTAGATATTAAGCTTATTGCTATATATATATACACATTGCATTGTAGATAGGATAAGATAAAGGAATACAATATACCTTTACACTTGTTCTTCGACATGCACTTTACTTTCATCTTCTCTTTTCATCTTTTGATACTACAAGTATTTATATCCAAAACTATTTAGGAGCATAAGCACTTATAACATTAATAAATTTTGCATCAACAACAATTTTTAAGGATATAATTCTATTTCCAATTCTATAAATTTCTATATATTATCATTCAAACTCTTATTTATATTAATGCCTGCACCAATTCTAGTACGACTCTTACCTAAATGCCATGGTTTAGACTACTAAACAATCCATCTACTTAATCTTTTATCCAACCTATTTATTGTAACACCTCAAGATCTAATTTTGGAAGAATTATCTATTTGCATCTTAATTAATTTACCATAGTCACTACT